CATATTGCATATAGAAAATAAAAAATAATTGCATCTATCAATATAAATAAAACTTAAATTATTAAAAAAATAATTTCAACAATATGAATATAACATAAATTATTTTATAACGAAAATAATAATAGTCTAATTCAGTAATACACCATAAAATAATTATTTTAATGCATTTTATCATAGATTTTAAATAAGAATAATAAAATTAAGTGCAAAAATAAGGACTCCATTTTGAATTAATTATTACTTTGTTTGTTATTCATAATTTTTATATATTCGTTATACATAATTTTACAGTATAAGAATAAGTTGTTTTAGTTTTTCTATTGTAAAAATATTAATATATTTATGTTCCCGTGTAGTACACATGTATCTTACTAGTTAATATATATTTATCTTTAAAATATAGATTTATAGGTTTAGTATAATATAAATTTATATGAAATAAAGATTAGTAAAATATAATTTTTTTTAATTTGGACAATTTATACAAAAATAAATTTATACTAATTAATAAAAAATTAAGAAAAAATAGTAGTAGGATAGATAAATAGTAAAAGATATAAAAAAGAAAATAATAAAAAATATTTGGAGAAAGAAAGAAAGAAAAATATAAAAAATTAGAAAAGTTAGTAGTGGAGAGAAAGAGAAATAATAAAATAATATGTAAATGGTAAGTAGTAGTGGGATGATGTAATAAGTTATTTTATTTTTGATTTAATTTAACAAGAGGGAGTTAGGAGGAATAAAATTAAGAGGGTAGGGAGTATAGAGGAAAAAAATTAGAGTGGGGACTGAGGAGGAAGTTGAAAAGTGGTTTAGGGATTTTTAAAGAAGTTCCTCATTTTTCAGACCACGGAACCGTAATAAGCCTATTTTTAAAAAAAATATATATATATATATTAAAAAAATAGAGTTTTTAATAAGAAGTTCCAGACAAAGTAAAATTAATCTCACAGACTAACTACAACAATTAAATCTCACATTAGAAAGAAAAAGGGAAGAGTTTCGAACAAGGAACTAAAAAATAGAACTAAGTGGGGAATTGAGTCCCACTACTCAGACTTCAGCAAGGCTTGATCTCAAGTGTTCCTGCCGATTCTGATTCTTTATCTCCGACCACCTTCGGATCCTCACCCCTCAATACACCTCCTTTGTCCATGGACCACTGGGTAAGACGAGAATCTGCAACCACATTACTCTTTGGGACGTCATGTTTTCTTGGAAGTGGTGTGCTATGATCGTGTACTCCCTTGTACGTTATTACTACATCATTCATGTTATCAACGGCTCGCTCGATGTGCTTCCGAACAGGGCAACCACCTGAAGTGCATCTGAAGTAGTTCCTATGCAAATCCATATGCATGGTGATTGAAACAATTCGAGCAAAAAAGTTTAAACATAATCAGGAAGCTTTTTAAGGAGATTTAAGCAAAGTGATCAAACTTTGACTCCACAATCTTCAATTTACCACCATACAGCTTTCCCAGGTTATATAATAGCTGCAGCTGAAGGGTGATGGACTAATCAAAATTAAAAGTTAAGTGGATACATTTTCCATTTTGAAGAGAATTTGGATCTGCATGTACGTGCTTTTGGAGCAACATTTTTCAGCTAACAATGTGACCATAGCATAAAATGTGAGTTACAGGTACAACATAACAAAGGTAAGAGCAGCTGTTAATCTCTTCAGATGCAATACACGGTCAGAAACTTCAAAATTAGTAGAAGTTCGATATTCTCCTTTGCAACTTAAGCAAGAATCTCCAAGATAAGGAGAACCAAATACTGCACAGCATATTCAGTCACCACAAGGAAACCGAGGACGAGGAAATGCATTAATGAGATAACCCTATAACTGTATGGATGTGATTGTAAGAGACAGTTTAATGTTAATCGCATATCATAACATTTGGTTTGACCTACTGATAATCTATGGTAGATTTCTGTCAAGTAGTAGAGGGAAGAACAATACTTCATATACTCAGAAACCATAGACAGAGATACAAGGAACATACTACTGTAATGATAAACCGTGCTCTTTCACTTCGGTTCTCCAAGTTCAAAATTCAGCTACCACTTGTTAAAGTGAGGAACTTGGTTCTTTACTTGACCTGTATTACGATGTAATACAGGACAACATCCAAGATGGTGTGTAACAGAAGATAAATCTTACGTCCAGAAGATTTAAGGAAAGTTCGACGTTAAACATTCAAGTGGTGGTGTACATTTGATTTTTTATGCACAAAGTATTTTTGAGGTAGTAATATTGGGCAAGTTCATGAAAACGTTCTGATATATTCAAGTCCAAGACTCCAAGTAAAAAAATTCTGTCATAAATACAAAAGTGTGTTCAAGAAATACTAATCCGCCTGGTAGCTTGGAAGTTTCTGTGCATCTTCAAGCTAAAAGGTATCGTATTCCTCTTTTTTCTTCATTTTTCATCTTTTTAGAATTTAACAACAGCTAATTGAGCCTATCTTTGGAAATTCTTAAAACTTAAGAGGATTCTCTTTGAGAAAATCCAGGGGTCTGCTGGATCCGGAAATGTGTCAGGATAAACCTACCAGTGTAAATATCTATTCTAATTATGCATGAAAACTTTCTTCTATAAAAAATTTTTTTATGGAAAACTATTCCATGAAGTTCCTCCAAGCTCTCTCTGAAGCCTTGCTGTACATTACAACCACTTCAATACATGAAGAAACACTCGGCATAACAGAGGTCCTGACATTTCAATTTTAAGAGAACTTCCTTCAATTAGGCAACAACAACCGTACTTTCTCTATTTGACTCCCTTCATCTTTTATTTTAGGGCATTCGATTTGTAATTTGCAATATTCACAAGGAGTTCTGACGAAAAAAGTTCCATATGGTAGAGACCGCAACTTCTCTGGCATGGTTATTGGATATTTCCATGATTGAGATATGGGTGGGAAGTGATGCACTTAGTTATCAATCCAACACTTGGCCATCAGGGTATATAAGTTACCATTTTTTATGGGTTAAACATAGAACTTAATTATAGAAAAACAAAATATCCCCAAGGTAGTGAGTGATTATAAGAGAACCACATAGATATACATAGCTGGAACCTGGACAGACTACTAAGAAATAAGTAACAGCCATTTAGAGCTCTTTCACCATAGCTGTATGAAAACAGCAAGTCATTGGTAACTCCTAGAAAAGCACAGTCAAACCAGTGCAATGGTTTTATTTTAAGTTTTAACAAAGTTAACCAATGAGGTAGCAATGATTTGTAACACAGTGAACTGGGAATTTACCTTGGATGAGGATTACCCTTCACCATCTTCTGTCCATACTTGCGCCATCTGTAACCATCTCCTGATATTCCCATGTCACCAGCTGCATGAACAACATATTTGGGTTTCTTTCCGGATTTAGACGGAGAGTCAATATCACCAGCAGAATTTCTCTCTTGCCTTCGTATTTTATACATGAAAAGTATTAGGAATATTCGTAATAGCACTCAATGTGGAAATATCACAATTTTGAAATGGTTAAACATATGCATAGCTATTTACATGCCTTTTCCTACATTCTGCTCCATCAATATACTCCTCCATGTTGGCTTCTGTAGTCTCATCAGAATCGCTCGACTCATGCTTTTGTGTCTCAGGCATCTCATTAGTTCCTGGAATAGATTGTTTCAGCTTATTATCTTTCACTTGACCATTGGAACATATCATTGGACGAAATGAATCATCATCCCCACTAACTGGACCAACTGGTAACGCGGGTACACTTTCATTTGTGCAGTTTAGTTTCGGAAGAGGATCATGATTGTGGTGGCTTCTGTAAACTGTCTCTATGAGACGGTGAGAAGAATCACAAAACTCGATCTTCTTGGCATAACAGTCGAAGAACGTGCATCTGTAATAGCTCCGAGAACCTTCCGGACTCTTCACTGGCTTCTGACCGTACTTGCGCCAATTGTACCCATCAGAAGTTTTTTGGACAGCCCTTTTAGATGAAGGCTTGGACCCCGGAAAATTCTGCTTGTCCTGTTCTGTTATGCATGTATTGTTCCCATTCTTTACTGGAAGCAAATTTGGAATGGAGCAAACAGACTTTGTAGCAGATGCAGGTGACACTTCCAGCTTGGAGGTAGCATTAGATACAGGTGTCCGAACCTCTGAAAATGTGCCAGTAACACTTTTGAGAGATTGGCCGTACGCTGCTTTTGCTTGTTCCTGAGGTAATAATGAACAAAATTGAGGAGAAAATAATGCCAATTTGAATTGATTTCATCAGAGATTCACAGTTAGTGTTGTTAGTTCAAAAGCATAATACTAAACAAGAGCACATATCATCAACCAGTAGTGTGACCAACAGCATGTTAAGTTGTCGCCAGCATTGTTATGAAAGCAAACACCGTGCAAGATTGATTTTTGAAGTCTATACATATGATTCATTAATTTACTAGTTACTACAATATTCATGCATTCATTCTTTAGCTTATCATCAATGCACGACTGCATTGAGTTTTCACACAATCACACAATAATCGTCCTGAGTGTGGGGCTGCATATGATATAAAGGCTATCCCATTACCGATGTCCTATCATACATCTTTGCAGCTGTGGATTCAAGTTCTACAGTCCGAAAAATCCTTGTGGTACTAAAAGAAAATATGTCCTACTTTATCTTGGCTCGACGAAATTGGATAAACTACTCCAATTTAGTGTCGGAACAATGACTTGCAAAAACATGCAAAATCAGAAAATCCCATTCGACTATATTCTCTCATCAAACGAAACTAAAAGTCCAAGAATACTATCACTACGTTATTCATTCCAACCCAATTTCCATAAAGCATAGGTCCATACATATGAAACAACAATGCTAAATGATGAAGTCCAGTTTTATAATGGACAGTAAGAACTTAGAACAACCCAAGCAAAATCCAAAAAACTTCTGTATGCGTACAAGTAGAATTCCAACCTTCAACTGTTCAGCTGATTGTATTGGTTGCAGAGAGTACTCCACCGGAACCTCTGCCACAATCAAAGTTCAACAAAATCACCACAACATATCTTCTCCATAATTCTTTACCGTAGATAAACATGCAAATGTGCCCATTAAAAAATCTTTACCGATTAATTTTATTTTTTTTTTTAATAAAAAAGAAGGAGAAGAAGAAGAAGAAGAAGAGCACGAAGGATGAACTTATTAGAGCTACCTGACAAAAGGTGAGAGGATTCATCAAAATCAGCTAAAGCAGCCTCGGAGAGCTGTACGGAGGTTAGGGTTTCCAATTGAGAAGTTCTCGATTCTATTCTTGAGCTGCTCCCAATGGTACAATCACTCATGCTTTCACTACTCACTCGCTCCTTTTCACAATTATTCGCCATTTTATTCAGCTCGATTTTCTCCTTCACTGGGTCCAAATGCTCATCATCTTCTGTTCCCTGTAAACATTCAGAGCTCAGACTGTTCTCTTGTACCATATATGGCGGATTCTTACACACAGTCAGTGTGCAAGTGCGGGGTCTGTGACTGACAACCATTATTAAAAAGCTTCTCGGCTCTTTTTGAGCAACTAATTCTAATTTCTAAGCTTTATGTTGCGATATAATTTTCTTTTTCTTCACGTTATTTATACTAGCAATCTATCTAGCTATCTATATATTAAAAGAATAACCTTTTAAGATATTTGGCGTCGCCAATTTCATAAGAAGAAATCTTATCACATCTTTAATCTGTTTATCCTTCTGTTCACACTTAATTCCATATGGAAAAATCATATTATATATAGATCCCTATAAATTTTAAAAATCTCATATCTTATCTATTTATTTTAACATATTTTTTCTAAAAGACTATTGTAACAGAATTTCTTTTTGTTTTAATCTATTATATAAATCCCTAAAAATTTTAAAAATCTCATCTCTTATCTATTTATTCTAACATATTTTTTCTAAAAAACTATTGTAACAGAATTTTTTTTTCTTAAAACAAGTTAATTGTCTAATCACAAATATAAATCATTCTTTTTCTTAAAACAAGTTAATTGTCTAATTGCAATATAAAACATTCGTTAAAATTATTTTTTAAAAAAATAATTTTCACTCATCTAAATACTAATATTATTTAACAATTATTAACCCTTATAATATATTAGATATTTTAAACATTAGACAAAGACTAAGGAGCTCTATATATATACACACATGTATGAGGTTAAACTTAAGTATTTTTTGACATATTTTTCGTAGTTTAGAAAAGTGGCTTCAAACATTTTTAAGAATAATATAGAATATTGTATATACTTTTTATATATGTGATATAATATTTTAAAGGTATTTAGTATATTTATCACATATTTCTCTCTTAAACTACATACAATAAAAAGTTATAAGAAGAAATGTAGAATTACATATTGTCTTCAATTTTTATCTGATTATTAGTTATATATATATATTTGTTACAGTTTACATTAATCTTTGAGTTGTATTTGTAAACTTAATAAATCTGCATAAAGCGTCGTGAAATTATTATGTGTACAAAATTTCTTTTTAACGGTAACAATATATACTTCAAATGTTGATAAGTACCGTCATAATTTGAGATCATGTCAATATTTATTTTTTATATA